TTTATAAAAAAAACGTATTGCAAATTAAATACACGTCTCACAATTAATTTACCCATAGATCTTGGACATTTTTTTCTCTGTTCACAAAGGCCTGCCTCACCACAAACAGGACACTTCACTTATTGAATCCGATGTTATGATAAAATGTCCAACGATAAATGAATGACATTTTAAGAAACTTCAAGTCTTCAAGTGCTCAATAAAATGACGCACGTTACCATCCGTCACCCCCCTGCTGGTTTGCTTATTCTTGATTCAGGCTAAAACCGAGCATTTTAAAATACTTTTTGCCATGATTTACAAAATAAACCGGGGTCGGGGAGGGGGTTACATGATTGTAATCACTTGTCTAAGCAGATTACGCAACAGGTCATTTACAGAATTCTGATTAATCCGACAAGACAATTGCGGCAGATTATGCTTTGCACAGCCGAGGCGGTAGCGATTCGTATCCACCGCCTCGAACTGTGCAAACAAAAACTGGTCGTTCACGTATTGAGTATGCCATGGCCCGACAATATGACATAATTGACCTTTGTTCAGAAAATCAAACGATGAATGAATGACCGTGTTACGTAATCTGCTTAGACAAGTGATTACAACCCTGTGACCCCCCTCCCCCACCCCGGTTTATTTTGTAAATCATGACTTTTGTTGCCACCTTGTCATCATATATTAATTTAGAAGCTTGAGAATGAGTTATCCAAAATGTTTTTTTTAATATTTTTAATATATACTTTTATGTATTTTTATGAAATAAAGAAGTGTATTTTTGCTTAATTTGTTTTAATTTGTGACTTTGAAACATATCAGATGGTTCCAACATGTACCGTATGCTGCACCAATGTATGATTGGAACCTCAAAATGGATACTTTCAACGAGTGGCGAACCGCTCTGCGGAAGTGCTGGTGTCCATTATCCGACGGTGGATACAGCCGGGAAGCACAGTATATACGGATCAGTGGTCCGCATATTGATCTTTGTGTTCCCTTGGTTATATTCACGCGTGTTAACCACACTGAAGGTATTGTGTACCCTAATACCGGTGTGCACACGAATAATGAGGAATCATTTTGGAGTCACATCAAACGACGATTGAAAAACGTTACCGGATCTGTCGGAACATTTGGATGAGGTGCAGTATAGAATGTGGTTCAATTATTCCGTACAAACATTTCATATTATATATATATATATATATATATTATATCCGTGTTAAATACCATTTAAAACTATTATACCATTTTTCTCATTTATTACTTTCCTTTTTTGTATATATGGGGTGGGGATATATTTATGTTACTCATGAGTAGTATATAATCACTTACGAAAATTGCTCTTGGGGGAGGGGGTGACGGATGGTAACGTGAGCCAAAAATGAAATAAATGTATTACAAAATTGAACTTACTATCCGATGGACGTTAAGAAATAAGAACCTAAGCGCAGCAGCTGCTAACAACTACACAGCACAAGATAAGAGTTACTGGAACTATCATTTCCCGCAATAAATTAAAGTAAAAATTAGTGGACGTTTGACTCCAAAAATGCAAGCACTTTGATTGATTTAACACTGAAAATGAGTCTTCAAACCAA